GGGGGGCCGGGAGGCAGCAGGAGGCTCCATACCTCTTGCGGGTGATGCTGGATATCATGCCCAGGTCCGTCTGGAGCTCCTCTTCCGTGAGCCGCAGAAGCAAGTCGCCATCTACCTGCTGCTCCTGGGGTGGAGTCGGAGGTAAGAAAGAAGGAAGGGCTCCCCATCTCAGCCCTGAACCCCCAAGCACAAGATGCAGGGGAGGGAACTGGAGACGGGGTAGGGGAAGAGGATAAGACCCCGATTAGAGCCAAGTGACCCTGAAAATTGCTGAGTACAGGCTCTCCACCCCAAAAAGGCCGCGCTGGTGCCTCAGGCCTGCGGGACAGGAGGGGGCAAGGTCGCCTGTGTGCATGGCGCCCCAGGGGTCACGTCCTTGGGGATGCGCAGGCTCTGACCCCGGGAGGCAGCCCCATGCGCCGCTATACCCGGAAGCGTTCGCAGTACTGGGAGAAGCCGATCTGCTGCAGCCACGTCTGGACCTCGGCCTCCTTCCAGCTGGGCACGCAGGGCAGGATGGGCCTCGGCACCTCCTCGCCCAGCAGGCGCAGCGCGCGCTTGGCCAGCGCTGAGGTGGTGCCATTGGTGGAGTAGGAAACCAGGCGTTTCAGGCTCTGGGTGGCACCGATGTCAGTGAATATCTAGGGAGAGGTGAGGAGAGGGTGCCTTGTACCCACCAACTTTCCAGCCAGCCACCCCCAAATGTGCCCAGCTTCTTCTCACTGTTGAAAGTCCCACCGTCTGCCCTAGCCCTGCCTTCACCCAATAATCATGGAGTCTGAATTTCTCCTCCTAAAGCTATTGACTCTTCATGTCTCCCCTCCACAGCTTCCGTGTGTCCCGCGGATAAAGTCTGAGCTCTCAGTATGGCGACCAGGCCTGGCACAGTGCAGCCTCTGTCCACAACTCCAGCTCACCTCCCCTCTCACCAACCCACACTTGTCTGACACCCCCCACAAAGGTTCTCCCACCTCTGGCCTTGGCCCAAGGTGTTCCCAGGCCCTTGGTTCCTCCATCCTGTTTGGGGGGATCCTATTCATCCATTGGAATCCAAATCGATTCCTCCCCCAGTTTGGCCCGCATCTCCAGTTTGACCTTGTACCACACTCTGAATGCCACTGTCATTAGTTGATAATGCAACTGCCACTGGGTGATAAACTGAGGTCATGTCTAGTCACCCCAGGAGTCCTGTGCCTGGCACACTGCAGGTCACAGAGTGGGGGCTTACTATGTCTTTACTGAACTGCACTCGCTAGCTTGGCTGGGAAAGGGTGGTCATAGCTGCTGCCCAATACTTCCCTACTCCAACTTCCCTCAAGGCTCTTCTCCCAAAGCAAAATGACCTGCTCTATAAAGCCAGTCCTCCCATGGCCCACCTCTGGAGCAGGCACAGAGAGGAGAATCAGAAACTCCTAGAACACTGGACCTTGGAGGGGGCCTCAGGGACCCCCTAACACCAAGTGTCTCCTTGATCTGTGAGGACACACACGAAGCATGACAATCATCTGAGAGACACACTCCTCTGAGCAGCCCCAGGTGACAGTTGTGGTACAGACAGGGTGGTTCATGTGGTGTGTTCCACTCCCTGTGCACCAGCTGTCACCACCCCCCAAATTCCCAAAGGAACAGAAAGTAGGGAGGGTGATACTATAGGGATAATCTTGATTCTGTAATATTTTTAAAAATAAAATTTCAGACTTTTGATAATTTAACTATTACTAGTCCCCTATCCAGGGTAAGAACTACTGCTGTGGTCCATCCACTCCTTCAATTTTCCAGAGGACAAAAATGAGACACAGAGAGGCCCCGAGAAGGGAAGGCAGATATCCACGGTCACACAGCAAGTTAGAGAAGAGGGCAGAGGTTTCAGATCAGGCCCTGGGCCCGGGGGCCTATGGGCACTCCGGCGGGAGTTCTCTGGCGGACACACTGACAACCTGCTCCTCTGTCTCTACACTCCCTTCCTTCCTGGACTCCAGACCCAAATGACAAAATGGCCCACGGGAGCTCTCTACCTGCTCATCTCTCATGCACCTCCAATCCGATCTGTCCCAGTGAACTCACTTCCGTCCCCTCCGGGACTCCAGCCTGCCTCTCACACGGTTCACCTTATTTCAGTACCTGGTGCCACCATCCACTGGGTTGCCTATGTCCAAAGTCAGGAGTCACCTTCAGCTCCTCCCTCTCCTTCACCCGGCCACCCACCACGTCCTAATTCTAGCTCTTCAGCACCTCTGGAATCTGCCTACTTCTCTCTGCCTCTCTCTGGACTAGTCCTGACCCCCACCATCCCAACCTCACCCTTGCAATCCCATCTCCAGGCAGCACCTGGGTAATCTTTATAAAACACGTGCCCCTCTGCTTTAAAACCTTGGTCTTGCCTTCAAGACCAGAATAACTGGTTCCTCATCCTTCTCCTTGCTTTGGGAAGCCTTCCCAAATGCTGTCGAACACCCGATCCTCACTCCACCCGCACCGCACCTTGGTCTTGCCCTGCAGACTCTTGATGGCAGCTTCCGCGCACAGATAGAACGCCCCGATGCACTGGGCCTCCAAACGCGAGGAGTCGAGCAGCGGCACGAGGCGCTGGGTCGTCGGG